GTCGATATGTTCTTATTTATTAATGAAATTTAGAAAAGTGGTATTGCTGGTTTTCATAGCTCACTATGGTCTGGAAATCCTGAAAGTTCCATTGAATTTGAAGATACTTGTGTATTGTGTTGGAGAGAGACCATGGAATACCCCATATATATATGGGCGTGCCCAGTCGTATTGGTACCCCAAGAGTTATATATTCATTTAACTTCAACTACTTATTAGAAAAACATGAAATTTTTATCAGATATAGTACATATATAGTTCTAATAATCTGTCATTGTTCGAGGTTTGTATACCACTAGAAAAGAAGAGTTTTGAAATATATTTATATAACCATTGCTCAAGACGTACTTTATAACTTGTTAGTTTACATCTCATTCTCGGTATATATTTCATGTACGACAATATTTTGTTCACTCTGTCGTGGTTTTACTATAGTCACACTATTTTCGTCCTGACTGTAATTTTTTCGCATGTTTAGCCATTCTTCATTTGTCCTTAACACACTTTCAATTAATCATAAATACTTTTATTCGTATTATGTTCTCTCCGCAAATTAAATGAAATTGCTCTGAATGTCGATCCGCAGTAGTCGATCGACGAAAATATTGCACTGATTGTCATTCAGTGTTGACTTGGACATAGATTGGTTGGGGAAAATCGGGTTTATAGACGCATTACTATCGTTATCATGACAATTGTAATTATTGTACACCAGAGCTTGAAGAAGAAAGCAACAAGAAATGGAAGAGAAGCGAATCACTCTCCAACAACAATTTCGAGCTTTAGATGATAGTAAGTAACATTAGTCTTCTCAGTTTACACATACACCTCTTATTCTTTTATTTTAGAACAACGTTCATGGTCAGAATGGAGACGTACTAATGAATCATACATACAACATACAGGGTATGACATTGGACAAATACAACAACTATATTCTATGTGCGAAGAATCGCTTGTACGTTATCGATCTCATATAAAAGAACAACGTACAGACGATACCATCACACGATATCTTTCTCCTATCAATTTACTTGTGGTTACATTATGGTATTTAAAACATTATCATTCTGAACGTTATATTTCTACAGAATTAAATTTGGGTCCATCAATAGTGAATTATTTTCTAAGAGAGGTTATTTATATTTTATACTCCTGTGTATATCCGGAATT